CGGAGGAGATGGATTGTTTAAGTTTAGAGTTTGGAGTTAGAGATATTAATATTTGTTTACTTGTAGTTGAATGTTAGCCTAGGTTTGGTTTGGGAAGTCCGGGGGGTGGGGGGATGGGATAAATCATTGTGTAATACTTGTGATGTATTTTTTCTTTTATGATAAAAACAATAAAATTCTATATTGAAAAAAAAAAAAGGGCTCTTGGCCTGAACTAACCAACTTGGTCTCCTGTTCTGGCCCCTCCTGTGTCTCCCCCATGTCCCTCCTCCCTTCCAGCCAAACCCACCGTCTCCATCTCCCCCACCAAGCTGGATCCCGCTTCCCCAAACACCATCCTCCTCTGCACCGCGAGGGGCTTCTACCCTGTGGAGATCAAGGTCCGGTGGCTGAAGAACGGGCGGCCGGAAGAGGAGGGCGTGGCCTTTGGGGAGGAGCTCCAGAATGGAGACTGGACCTACCAGCTCCAGGTGATGCTGGAGACCCAGCCCCAGCGGGGGGACGTCTACACCTGCCAGGTGGAGCATGCCAGCCTGGAAGCCCCAATCACCGTCCAATGGGGTGAGCCCCTCTCTTCCATCTCCTCCTGGTCTGGGGACCCCATTCTGCCCTGAGAAGGGGGGAGGGACCCCCCCTATCCAGGGAGATGGCATGGACCCTCCTGGGGGGGGGGTAGCTGGCCCTGATCTTCCTACTCAGGGGAGGCTCCTTCTCCTTCCCCAGAGCCCCGTTCCTCCAACTCTGCCAAGAGCAAACTCTGGACGGGGATCGTTGCAGCCGTGATCGGGGTGATCTTCTTCACCATGGGGCTCTCCCTCTACCTGAAGAGCAAGAAAGGTGAGTCTGGGGGGCTGGATGAGAGGTTGTGGGGAGGGGACCATCCAGGGGAGGCCTCTCAGCAACCTTAGCAGATGGCAAGGAGGGTCCCCTGGGAAATTTGCTTGGGAAATTCTGTTCTTGAGTCTACTGTATAAGTGAGCATCCTGCAACCTATTATGGGCTGTCAATGGGTAGGTGGACATTCTGAGTCCTCCAGCCCATGAAGGGTCCTGATTGGCTCTTTTTCTCCTTTCAGCAATTCCCATCCAGCCTCCTGCAGGTGAGTTTCTCCTCAAGTGATAGATGTTTCTTTAACATTCGTTAATTGTTCCTTTTTTTTTTAATGTGCCTGAATAATACTTCCTTGCTGTGGATAACACAAATTTTTGAAATTTTGGGCAGCTTTTCATTACAGAGACCTGAAAACAGTGCAATCGAAAACAAATACAGACACAAACACTAAAATCTGGCCCAGGAGGTTTCCAGGTTT